TGGGAATTTGTCAAGATGAACAGACAGGGTTCCTGCCCTCAGGAGCTCACAGAGCTACAGGGAAGCCATGTCTTGGTGCGGAGAGAGTCTGAAGGCCTACCTAGACACCTGGATTCATCTGGCTGAGTGGCTGAGCAGGGAAGATGAGGCTGCAGTGGTGGCTTCAGGGCCTCGAATACTGAACGCAGGCTTCAGAGTCAGACAGACTGAAATCCTGGCCCTACTGTGTCCCTTGGGACAAGGCACACAACCTTCCTCAGCCTCCCGTTTCCCCATCTGTAAACAATGATAGTTACACCAACTTTGCAACGTTTCTGTGAGCCTAAATGAGATAACATAGCAACAGCTCAGCGCCTGGTGCCTAGTGGGGGCTCAAGCACTGCAAGTGTCATTCATCTGGCAGTGGCAGTGGGGAGCCGGGGATGATTTGGAGCCGAGGGACAATGTTCTGGGGCATCTTGGTCAGGAGAGCAGCTCCCCAACCACCTTTCAGAAGTGAACAACAGATCACCTCTGTGTGTGGATTCTTGTAACTGGGTCCTACATGCTAGTCCCAGAGGGCAATTTCTTTGCCTTCTCCAACATAAATATTATATGCAAGTATTTTTAAGTCATTTCATCATGAAGAGAGGCGATTTAACATAACTATTACCCAGGATTCTTCATGAAATATGCATCAAGCAATTAGGTCTAAAAGCGAGAGGTGAGGCCTCGCACCCTGCCCGGGCCAGCAGCTGCGGGCTGAGTGATGTTTTATTAAAGCCTGTGATTATGAGACGAGGTGGGGCCTGTTATTAGGCCCGGCACACCAGGCACGATTGATAATCCTGGTGATGAGGAGGTGCTTTTTGTGATGATAATGAGCAATCTGAACACTGACAGCCCCAGCACCCCCAGCCTCCGCGAGCCTTACGAGACTCATTAGACACGTCACCCACTGGAGACACCCCTATTTGTGACTTTGCTCTCTCGCAAGATGTCCTATCAAAGGAGACAGGGGTGACACAGGAGCTTGGCAGGTGGTGCCTGAACTCCTCAGGGACTGATGCCTTCCCAGAAGTGATGATGGGGAGGTGCACGGCCCTGGATGCAGGCGCCCGCGGATTTGGCTGTAACTGCAGCCCACCTTGCTGTGTGCCTTGAGCCAGAGTGTTGGTCTCTCTGAACTCAGTTTCCTCCAAAGTACCCCAAAAGGGTGAGAGGAGGTGGTTCCCAGGCTGCTTCTAGCTCCAGAGCAGCAGCCATAGCATCCCTGTGAATGCTGGTTATCTAATGCGCCCCCTGTTCTTCCTAGAAATTTTAACATTTTCTCTTATGCTTGATGTCTTCTGCGTAGAGTCAAGAGTCATTAAAACCATCCTTTCAGCTGTTTTAAATCTTCAACTATTGTTTGGTGGCATCTAACTCATGGGGACCTTGTAACCTCTCAGGAGATATTATTATGACACATCCATTGGGGGATGTTGACAAAGCTTTACCTGACCTTTGAATGAGCTGGGATTTGACAGATTGTCTGAAAAAGAAAGGCTGGTCACCTCTCAGGGCTTGCCAACCCCATGTGGTGGTCACCACCCTGCTTCTGTGGCTGGGGCTCCACTCCACCAGTCAAGACACATCGTCACCAGTCCCTGAGATGGCTTTTCACTGTCAGCCAGTGCTGTCTCTGATTTGCCATCAGCTGTGCAGCATAGGTGCCTCGGTGACTGAGGCTCAGGGTCGAGGAGTGACTTGCTCAGTGTCTCATGCCTCTTGCCCACCACCCTGCCTGGCCTCACGTGGAATATGGAGGGCTGAGTAGGGCCCTCTCCTGGAGCAGAACAGTGCTGAGGTCAGGAGCTTGGGCTCTGGGAAAGGCCCTCCAGGGAGGATCGCTGTGTGGCCCTGGGTCAGCCACCTCCCCGACGCAGCCTCCATGCTCAGCACATGGCCTGGCTCACAGGAAGTACCCAGGAAACATCGCCCCGAAGGCCATGGGCAGCAGTGGAGGGTGGGTGTGAGGCTGCCTCCAGGCCCCTTCCTGCAGAAAGCCCTCATGAGCAGGCAGCAGATTGTGCTTATGCACACGGAACCCAGGACCTTAGGCCCAGAAGCGCCCTCAGTTACCCTTGCCATGGACCCAGTGGGGGCAGGAACAGAGCCCACACTGTCCAAGGTCCAGAGAACCACAGAGTATGGTGCTTGAACCCAGGGGGAAGGGCCATTCCTGCAGGGGACTTTCATCATCAGGACCAGCTCATGGGCCTTTCTCCCTCTGATGTGGAATAGTCAGACCATGGGGTCACAGGGCCTGAGTTCTCTGCCCTGATCTGTGAACTTCATGACTGGTTTGTCCCCTTGGGACAGCCTGGCTCAGGGTTATAAACTAGCAGGTACTAAACTACAGTGTCAGAGGAACAAACAGACGTGGAGAGTCAGGAGAGACTTCAAGAGATGATGACGGCTGTCCTGCCTTGCCCACCCATGTCTGTTGAGGTGGGGACAGCAGTGTGATGTTTCTAATACCGGGTGGTCATTTTGACCCTGTGGCCTGGGAACAGAGGAGCTTCAGTTTCCACCTCCGGCTCTGTCAGCTGTTGCGACCCCGGCCTGGCCCTTGCTGGATGTTTTAAGAACAACCAGTAAAAAAATGTCCTGTTAACCCATATGAGTTATTTTCTTTAACCTCCTTAAAATTTAAATCAGCTGCCCCTGCAACTTCATACCTTCCGTACCAGCAGGGCTTTAGCATCCAGACAAGGCTCACGGCTGGCTGCTGCGATCCTGTCTTACACGTCCTACGCTTTGCACCCCGAGCTCTAGATCTGTGAGAATCGTAAATCCTGATGGTCTGGCACCCCGAAACATGACTCCACTGGACTCAGGAAGACATGAGGTGTGCCCGAGGCCACTCCCCTCCTTACCTGAGCTGCACTCACCTGCAGCCCCAGCCCCTGCTCACCCATACCCATCCTTTGTCCAGGCAAAGCTGAGCCCGTGGCCTCCAAGAGCTCAAAGCGTTTTTAACTATTCCCAGTTTTCTTAGCTACACAATTTCAGTGCTTCATTCAAGCAAGTACAGTTCTTTCCTGGCCGGCCAAAATCGGCAATCTCTCCAGTGTGGTGGGTGGCTTTAGTCTTCGCTCAAATGGAGTTGTACATTTTTCACTTAGTGCACACACCATTTCCTTCCTAATAGTTTAAGCAAGTGCTCCTCCTGCTTCTCAGATATGTTGAGGCAATTCTCCAATGAAATGACCCTTTACTGAGGAGCAGAGCTTGCCACAGGCTCTGTAATTAGAACATTGTCAGCCTTAAAAAATCTTGATTTAAATTTCAGTTCTTTACAGGAATTATTCTCTCTTGAAACATAATTGCTCTCCAAACGATTTCCTTTAAGCCGAGGGTGACATCTCTAAATACATTATTATGAGCAGATATATTGCTCAGTGCCTGCACTTCATTAAGCATTTGCTCTGCCCATTTGAAAATGGTTCTGGAGTCCAAATTGACGCATTAATAGAGCAGGTGCTGGTAAGCAAGGGGAGTCCAGTCCTGACTCAGGGAAGTGTGTTTAAGCTCATCAGTACCCCTGTAGGAAAAGCCAAAACCAGAAGATCTGGAACTCAAAAAGGCTACAGACCTGTGCCCACATGTAGCTTTCAGCCTTGCTGGGGGTGGGCCTTGATTTCAGGGGGGTTGACCATAAGTTACCTGTGCCCACAGACAGGCTCTGGAGATGGTAGCAGAAGGTTGGAGCCCCAGCTTTCTCACTAAGTGACAAACAGTAAATTAGACTACTTTGGAAACCACAGCACAGCACCCACAGTGTGACAGCAAAATCATAAAGGGCAAGGCTTGGAGTGGAGTGGACAGGAAAAGGGCAGCCTGGGCAAAGGCAAATTGACGGAGGGGTGAGTGATCCAATGTGGCCAGAGTCCTGGGTAGGAGGTGGACAAGGCCGTCCAGGACCAGGCGGAAGCACCATGGCCTTTGCTGTCTGTGAGCTGTGGCCCATCCAGCATGCTAGTGCAGTTGGCCGGCTACAAGGGTCATAGAGCACAGGGCTCTGCTCTGATCACCAAGGAACCTTCCCAGTGCCCTTTTCGTCAGATGCTGGGCATGGTAGGCATAAAGACAGGGCCCTGTTCTGTGGAGCTCTCGGGGGGAAATAGTAAGAAGCCAAATGCTAATAGAAGCATGATCCTCTATCACAGGTTGAACCTCAATGTGGGCAGAGGAAACACGCAGGCTGTGCCTTGGAGAAGGAGGTTTTACTGAGTAGAGGGAGGAAGAGAGGGGAGTGCCCACACAGGGACAGCACTGGGGAAGAGCTCACAGTTTGCCTTTATTCCATTGGTTAAAACTAGTCAGATGGCTACAACGGCTACAGGGAGCCTGGGAAATGTAGTTCCCAGCTGGGCAGCTCCTTCCCAGTGACAGTTCCATATTACTGAAAGGTGAGCATCAGTTTTTGGAAAACAGGTCACCTGTCATCCCTGCCACACTTCGTTTCTCACCTGTAAGCTGGGGGTGATGACCTCAGCCTTGCCCACCTGTCGAGGCATCAGGGACTTAATACTTTGCACCTTCCAGGCAAGACTGAAATACTTGACTGCATCAGTAATAGGAAGAGGGGCCAAGCTCTTGAGGCCGAATGACAACTTGCAGCAGTGTTTTCTGTTCATTCCTGGTCCCGTACTGGGACCAGGGAAGCTCCTAGGTGCAGCTGCATTTTGGCTGATCCTGGGCCCTGGTCCTGGCTTGGAGAGGTGCGACTCCTGGCTGCTTCTGCCTGAGGCAACAAGGAATCTTTGCATCTTAGCAGGATTTGGCCAGAGGGATAGTTCTCCGAGGTAATGAGTGTGGATACATGACATGGCCTTGTTCAGAGCAAAATTGACTGGCTCTCTAGGAAATTGCTTTCCTGCTCCTCAGCCCTCCTTCCGCTCATCCTGCGTAGCATGACTGCTTTGGCCTTTGTCATTCTGCAGATCTTAATAACCTCTGTGTTTTGTTCACAGGAGCAGCCAGGGCTTTATGCACATGAAACTGGCCAAAACCAAAGAGAAGTACATTCTGGGTCAGAACAGCCCACCCTTCGACAGTGTCCCAGAAGTTATCCACTACTACACCACCAGAAAGCTGCCCATCAAAGGGGCCGAGCACTTGTCCCTCCTCTACCCTGTGGCAGTGCGGACCCTGTGAGTGGACCAGCCCCGCCCTGCTCTGGGACAGGGCCCAGACTTGGAGGAGCCGGAGCCCCTGGCCGCTGTTGCCAGCCCTGTCCAGTTTGTGTCGTGTGTATGGTACTAGCACACCACTGCATGTCTCTAGAATGCTGTTGCCACTGCGGGGGCTGGAGAAGGCCCGGACAAAGACAGAGGGATGGCCTACATGCCACCCCAGCCCCCACCCCCACCCCTTCCTCGAGTTTCTGTGAATTAAAATATTTGCAAATCCAAAGAGATGCCTTCCCGAATGAACAAAGGAGAGCAGCTCCGAGGGGCGGGGCAGGAACTCCCTGGGTCGCAGCTCTTTGTTCTCCAGCTGTCACGAATTCACACCTGTGTATGGGGCACAGTTTTCCCACCAGGGCCCCACTGGTGCTGGGAGCCAAATGCTGGTGCTCCGAGAGCCCAGAAGGCCCCAGGAGTCCTGCCTCCCCTCTGGTGTGCATGTGCGCGTCTGTGTGTGTGAGTGTGAGCACATACGTGAGAGAACATTGTCACACAAAGATGTAAGCCCACTAATCCATTTTTAGTCATTCAGTGTAATCATTAGATCTTCAAGGAATCATTGTGCGGTCAAAAAGAGGATTCAATTATTTATGAATAGGGTGTGTAAATAAAATAGTCATTTAATATATATTCTTATCCCTTTTTTTTAAATACATATATATATATATATATATATATATACCACAGAGGGTCTCTGAGGGGGGCAGTGCTTACCTGCTGGTGTGTCTCCTGGGCATGTGTGGTATGACAAGTCTTGGGGAGGGAGGGAGACAGGGCCCCCAGCTCAGGGCTGAGGCAGTCAATGGGGCAGAGGGTTTTCTTTGCCCCAAGAGTCTACCTGCAGGAAGGTGCAGCAAGTCCTCATGTTCAGACTCCACAATGGTAGCCTCAAATGTTGACCCAACAACCAGGCTCTCCCTTCTGCCTACAGCATCCCAGTGATGGCAAGTCAGTGTTAACCCCTCAGGCACACAGCACCTAGTAGTGTAAAAAGGGCTCTCCCAATTACCTGGTCAGTGCCACTTTGTGAGGCATTTAACATGTGGGGAAAGGGAGGCTCAGAGAGGGAAAGAAACTCGCCCAAGGTCACACAGCAGAGGAGCCTCTTGAGCCCGGATTGATAAGCTCCATAGCCCTATGTGGTCTAGTTTCACCCTGCTCCTACAGAAGGCAAATCCTGACTTACCAGGAGACATGGAGCCTGACTGGTCATCTACACTGCTTCCAAAGATACCCCCGCTAC